CAACTGGTTCCGGAAAAAATATATAATATTTTTTTTTAATTAAACAATTACTCCTCTACTTGAACTTAAATTGTTTCCGATTATTTTCGCTCTATCTTGATTTTTTTAATAAATAGTTATTTACAAGTATAAAAATTACCAATTTGTTTTAGACTCCTATAATTCTCAACTGGTTCTGTGAAACTTTTAATTACAAATTTTAGACAACTTATAATATATAATATTTTAAAATAGATTTCGGTTACAACAAAACCGATTTTAAATGATTTTGAAATCTACCTACAACAAATTCTCGCCGTGTAAAACTGTTCACTTTCGTTAGAGGTCCTGCCTCGAGTTTTCCATTTGTCGCCGGTCTACAGTTACATGTATCCCGTGGATTCCTTGGCGGCACCTTCCTTATCCTGCCGGTCGAAAGGTCCTTTGTGTGTTATTATTCAAAATCCAGTCAATAATGCGAAACGCGATGCTAATTTATTATACCAAATACGCGCAACAAGATGTTCTACGCTTTTTATGCATGGAAATTTTATATTTTCTCAAAGCTTTGGGTTTTCCGAGCAGTTACAATTACGAGCAGGGAATACCGTTGCCAGTTAACGCACACATATGCAAATTGTATATATAAACATATATATATAGGGAAGGGATACTATATATATTGTATGTGCTGGCTGCTTTTCAATTTTATCCCTTTTATTGGCTCTGCATTTGTTCCAGCTGCTTAAAATTCATACGCAAATACTTGGGGAAAAGTTTTCAGAGGGATGGGGGGTTGGTAAAAAGGGGGGCTAAGCAGATTGGCAGGGGCTTGGCTAAAAGGGGGGGCTTAGAAGATTGCTTGAGTCCTCCTTTTGGTCCATAAGGTCTCCCGTCAACCAGCTGCCAAAAGTTTCCTCGACGCTTTGTGCAAATTAGTTTATTGGAATTTCTTGTTTTCCATTTCGCTTCGATTTATTTCCTTTCGAATTGGAAAGAGAGGGGAAATTTTTGGCGGGAAAACGAGGTGGCTTGTGCGTAAAGATTTATAGTTTCCCCGAGATCTTTGTGCTTATTAGAAAGTTTTATGGTTTTTTATTCAATTACTTAGTTCTTTTTTTGAGAAATATTTTGCTTGCAGAAGTAACAAAAGGTTTAATCAAAGAAATAATATATATATTTTGTAAAAATACTGAAAGGATCAACTTATAGCAATTTGCAGAGCTCTTAAAACAACTATATAAAGAATAATAATATAGACTTTATGATTACACAATAAATTATATTATTTTTATTATATCTTATTATTATATCTTATATATAACTAGAAGATTACGTTAAACCACCATATTAATATAATAATATAGGCTAGATAATTAAACATTATGTAAATTAAAAGTATTTCTAAAAGGTATTATTGTTTATTGTTAATACAAACCTTTTATAGGATTTTCTATGTTTCAGAATAACGTTATAGAGCAAGTATATTTTCCCCCCAAGAGCTAAAGGCACTTTAGTTTCCTCCATAACTTGCTAAATTTATAATATTACGTGTTACACACTGTGGGAGCCAAAAAGGGGAAAATCGGGGGGCCAAAGTGGGGCCCACACACACAGACTATTAAAATTTTAATGAAAATGATGTCCGCTGGGACGGGTAACAACGTTTTCGCATTGCCAATGAAGATGACTCACCCGTGTTGGAAAAGCGGGGAAAAGTGGGAAAAGCTCTGGCTAAGGCTAAATAATGTAACTGCCGAGGGGAGAAACGTGGCGAAAAGGGGGAAATTGCGGGAAAAGCGGGGAAAATGTGCGTGCAACTGCGATATCAATATCAACACACACATAGCGTAGCACATTCATTCCGAATACAGGTGGATTAACATTGAAATTGACTGACACAAACGCAAGGTTCGCCATTCTCAATTTCCACCTGGGGCGGATTGGCACGCAATTATACTTGATATGCAGTAAAAATGTATTTAAGCTCAGGGTTAAAGTTTAGCAGGGGTCAAGCTTTTGTTTATTAGATTATATTTCGCTTCATATGTTTCCATTAAATCGGAATAATTTTCAGGGTTTTAAAGAAACCCCTAGGGTCTTAAAATCTATTATTGAGGTGTCTGAAAGTATGCAACAATTTTTTTAAATTCTGAAGTCTGAGGTGTCTGAAAGTATGCAACAATAATTTCTTAATTCTGAAGTCTAATGAATTCATGTCAATATTCATGTTCATATTTTTAATGTATATTTTTAGACACCATTATAAGTGTTTGCCAAACCAATTAATATGTTACAATCAAATATAAGTCTAATAATATAAATATTTTCATTAAAATATAATATCTATATATAATGTGTTTTTATTCTTGTAAGCATTTTTTGATAGTTTGCAGACTTAAATAACTAACACATGAGTGGTTTACTTGCCTAAAAGATTGTTAATTAATTTTAAGTCTATTCAAATTGTAAACACCTGACATTATACTAAATGTTTGTTAATCGTGACATATATGTATTTGCATTTGCGGAATTTCTTGCCTGTTTTCTCGTGTCATTGTGTGTGATTTTAGCATTCTCTTTGGTATTAAAACTTATTTGAAAGTGTGTTTGTTGCCCCTGGCAAATGTCAGTACCCCCGAACCCCCCTGGAACGACACCCCTGAGTCGTCGAATGCCCCCCCCTCGTTTAAGGGTTGCTTCTTCCCTGGTCGTTTCTTCGTTTTTTTTTTGCTCGCGGCACAACGCCAAATCCGTTTAAATTTATGGCGTGTCATTGTTTTGGCATAAAATTAAGTGAGTTCATTGTGGATGGAGGGGGTGGAAATGTAGTTAAACATGCACAGACATGCATGCAAATGATTGCAGTTGCCACACCCCCGAGAACCTCTGATTTTCCCGCCCCCCAAGGATGGGAGACCCAGTTCACATGTTAATGAAATTCAATAAGCGCTGCCTACTTTCGGGCGCTTTTAGAACGATGCCTGTTCATAATGGCCGGTCCTTATGCACTCAAAGAAATCATATGCGAAAAAATATATCGGAATTGAAAGTAATTTTAATAGGATGTTGATTTCAAATAACCAATCACTATTGAATATAATCTATTAACATAAAAACCTATTACCTATTAACATAAAAAACCTACCAAAAGGCTAAATATTTAATAAATATTGATATAATATTTGAATCAATTAAAGTTAAGGTTTAAGAATTTTGAAAATAAAGAAAATAATATTTCGGTTTCTAAAAATTTTTTAACAATGGCTTAGTAAGAATTTAAAAGAAATTGTAAGTTAATTTTTCTATAATAATATATAGAAGTTCAAGCCTAACATTTTTTCATCTTTTTTTGTATTAAACAGTTTTGTAATGAAATTGAAAATAATGTCATTCAAATCACGTGGGTTTTAAAATTACTTTTGTGATTCTAGCTGTTTAAAAGTATGCAACAAAATTTTTTTTTAAGCTCCAAGGTACAATTAATTTATTCAAACGAGTGTCTTTTTTTTTCTGCATGCTATTAGACACGTAGAATGATGTTTAAAAGTGATTTCAAGCACCTAGTGATTTGTGTGTCACCCCTAATTTAGAGTTATATAAATACATTTTAAAACAATAATTTTTTCCAGTGTACCACTTCTTCCCATCTAAGCTAGGACCTCCTCCACGTATCCCAGACTTCTCCCCCTTTGCAATTGTTCATCTTCCCAAGCGAGGCCGCAACATGGAAAATAATTTATAAAATTCATAAGCGCCTTTAATTTATGTGAACATCCTTTGCCCCATCGCCCCCGTCCCTTTTCCCAATCTTGCTCCTTTCTGGGAATCCCCCTGATGCCCCGAGCAATTCAGTGTAATTTTAATTAATGCTAAAACGGAATGCGAATGCTAAACGACCAGGCGACGGTTAGAAAAAGGCAAAGACACAAGAATAGCTTGGGAAAAATCAACGAAAACAATTTGGAAAAAAAGAAATGAGAAGAAAGTTCAGAGACAATGCGAGAAGGAAAATTGACAGTAAAAGAAGTGGGAAAATGGGGAGCGCATGCTTTTGAAAAGGCAGTGAAAGGCTTTCCTTTTTTTCCTAAGTTTTCGAATAACAAAGAATCATATATTATTTTGATATGATGAAACCGAAGATCTGCTAACACAGACAGTTATAACTTTTATTTTAGAACAAAGACCATCTTAAATATGAACCATAATTACTGAAATCTTATCTATAATTTAAAAATATTCCTTAATTCGGTTCCTAATGACTAATAATTTATTTTAGAATCTATAATAACCTATCCTTTGGCAATACAAATTATAAGTAGACATCTATCAATAAATCTCTTCAACCTAGAATATTTAAATCATGTTTTCCCACCTTTTGTCTGTGCCCTTTTCCCTTTTTTTAAGGGTCTTTAACTCAAAGCTCAGACTTGGAGACAAAAAATAAACAGAGCCTCAGACTTTGGTAAAAGTTGGCTTTACTTATGATTAATGCCTGGCGACAATGGCCAAAAAGTTACGACTTTTTTGCCCGAAAAGGGTGGCCAAAAAAGTTTGTAACGTGGCAAAAGTGGGGATTTAGCTTGTTTTGATTGCAAACTGTAACTGCTTAACTGCATATTAATTCGCTCCTTCCATCAAAACTCTGTGTTTGTATTGAGCACTTATTTTGGTTTCTGGCCAAAAGTCAAAAGACCACAAAAAAGGCGAACAGCAAAGAGGCGTGGCCGTGTGTTCTTTTGGCAGCCTTTTGTGGGCGGGGCCCAGAAGTTGTTGGCTCAAATTGGCAACAAAGGCGGTTTCTGGATTTTCCTCGGTTTTCGCTACGAATTTTATATGTATATTTTAATATTGGATAGCCAATTTAATAGCGATTAAAAGGGGAAAACATTTTTATATTAAAATGTAAATTTTATTGATTTTTAAAAAGGTCAAACCTTTTAACTCACCTTTATAAGGAAGCTTACAAATCTGATATTATACAAAATAGTTTTACTTTGAATACCATTAAAATTCATGAATTCTTGATAATTTCCAAAAAGGGTGTCAATTTATTAAGGTTTACAGTTTAAAATTCAGATTACTGGTTGTTAGGGGCTAATTCTTCCATCGATTATATCATTGATATATCGTTTAGTAGTGCCTACGCTGGCGATATCCTGGGGGCAGATATCGGCTAGCTGGGGCAGGAGCTGGGACATGAGAAGATGTCGATCCACGGTAACCACCAGCCCCATAGGAACTGCGTCTGAGTTATAGAAAAAACATAATATTTAATAGAAATATATAATATTATAGTTATATAGTGGATTGAAAAAATCTCACCCAGCTGGGACAGCGGGAACCGATGGAGAAACGGGCAGATGGGCTCCCTCGGCCTGGAATCCATTCTTATCCGCCTTGTAGTTCACCGTGTACTGCTTGCCATCATCGCCGGTATATGAGTAGGATCCCTGGACACCCAGCGATCCGTGGGGCCATCCTCCACGGAACTCACCGGTCTCATCGCGATGGATTCCATTGCCAGTGTCAAAGCTAGGAAAATATGGGTTGAAATGAGGTTTTTCATATGTAATATTATTGAAAATAGGTAAAATGCTACCTTTTTCGGCATTACTACATTGTGCTCAACTTAGAATCTTAACTAAAGGGATTAGAAATTAAATAAAATTTACCTTTTCTTTAGATGGTTTTCTACTAATTATACTACAATAAATTCTTTTTTTTTGCTAATGGTTGGATTGAAGATCCTAATAGTATTTCGTTGTAAAAAAATATCCTTTAGTGCTACTCAATTGTAAATTGTTTTCCCTCACTTTCTACAATTGTTTTAATTGGGGAATAATTATTTTAAGATTCCAGGAGATTAAAGCAATATGTGTTTTTCCCTAAAAGTAAGAAACAAATATACCAAAAAAATAAAAGATCAAGTGTTCTCTACTCAAAAATTCGTCAGATAAGTTTTTGAGAAAAAACGTTCTTGAAATCAAGAAGAAACTGCTCTGAAGTTTATTTATCAGGATAAAGCGATTTTGAATTAGATTTCGAAGAAGTCTAGCAAACCGTTAACATTTCATTATGGTTTTAAGAATTTGAAATCGAAAAAGGGGTGTTTTGAGAACGGTTTTTTCTTAAACTTTACGATTTTTAAGTGGAATTGAGTGTTTCAAGAACATAAGTTAGGGAAACTTGCTAATTTTGGAATATGCCGATCGGGATTTTAGTAAAATGCTTACCCGAAGTTGTAGTTGCCATTGGCGTCGCTCTGGTAGTCGCTCCTCACGATGGGGATCTGGGGCTGCTGCTGCTGGCGCTGGAAGCCAGAGGCGCCGGCGAAGGGGGCTCCTGCGCCAGGACGAGCGTGTCCTTGGCCACTGACGCCGTGGTAGTGCAGCTGGCTGGCCTGCGGAGTGGGCAAATACCGCTGGCTAAGACGACCGGCCAGAACGGCCGAGGAGAAGCCCAAGAGCACAAGGGCAATGGTCAAGAACTGAGGTCGCATCATATTCTCTTCTCTTTCAAGAATCACAGATCACACTTGGTCACTTGCAAAAAACCAAAAAAAATAGATATGATAGATGATATTCTCGATCTGGGAACGTTCGAACGGCAACTGCTGGCGAATCCGCTGGAGTGATTTGGTTTTATAGCCCCTCCATCAAACACTCACACTCCGACAAACATTCCATGCTCGGTTTTAATTGTTTTCTGTTCAACTTCTTCTTTGCCTTTTTTGCTTGGCTCAGATTTTAGTTTTTTCTCTGGTTTTTTTTTTTTTGTTTGTGTTTGCTTTGGCCGTTTAATTAGCCAAAGGCAGACGCGACCAGCAAACAATTTTTGGAATAGTTTTTTTTTTTTTTTGCGATCCCCCCAAGGCCCGCCCTTTTTTGGTTTTTTTTTTTGCCCTGGTGGGTGAGGCTGTGGTTTCGGTTTTCGGTCTGCAGCCCGCTGAGTGGTGCATATTGTTATATTGTTAGTACATGCCACTTGGCACTTGGTCAAAATTCTGCGGCTAAACTAATTATATGTAGCAACAACTGGGCAGAGGGGTCAACTTTTGGGGCTGTCTTTTGTGTGCCGACATGCTGCAATAGGGACTTTTAGGATTTTTCTACAGTACTTGGTACTTATATTCAAGAATGTAGTATTGAAGTTCCAGGCCAGAATCAGATCACTAAATTTAATAATAATAATAATAATTACAATAGTAATAGTAATAATAATATAAATCATATGCTATATTTTAAAGGTTGAAATCACCAATTTATTGTCTAGAATTTGAATGATTTAGAATAAATCAATTTCCTATCATATTCAATCCAATTTTAGTTTATTTAAAAATATATTCTTTTTTAAGATATGTATTAGAAACAAAGGAAGAGCTTGAGTACCATTTTTAAAAAATAAATGATAAAGACTAATGGAATTCAAAATAAAATCTTTTTTTCAGTGGTGTATTCACTTGAAATTTGTAATAATTTTTAAATACAAAGTAAATCTCTCCAAATATTGTCCTATTTTATTAATGCGGTTATTATTAATTTCTAAAAATACATAAAAAGCAAATTTAAATACAATGAATTAATAGATGAACTAGTGTAAGAAATATAGAATTTTTTAAGCCAGCAAAATTTCCTTTTTCCATAATTGTAGAATTTATACAGTTCTCATTGTGGACTTTATTGAGACCCCCTACAGTTTGTACCAATTGTTGCTTGACAGTTTTCTAATTTTAGGCTTTGAGCAGATCCATGATTCTATTTTTTTCAAATAATCTAAGATCTCCGCGCCTGTCTGCTATTAAAGGTAGAATCGTTAAAAAGATACGATAAATGCAAAGAGAAAAACACTTTTGCGGAGTTCCGGTTCGCGATTCGCTGGCTCGAGTGTTTGGGGCTACCCAAAAATGCCCTCACTCGAGGGCCATTACAACAAAAGTCGCCGCTCGATTCTAACAAAACAACTTGAGGGGCATCAAAGTCGGCTGTGATGACGATGATGATGATGATGCTGCTGATTGGGATCAGTGGACGTTGATGAACAGATGATGAAGGGGAAGAGCGAAGACGATTAAGATCTGATGATGTTGTATGGGTTGAAAACGGTAGCAAAGTTTGACGAAATTCCTCAATGGATTTGTGAATAAGATTTATGACAATTAATAGGTGTTGAAACAGCTGGGGGTATTAGAAGGTTCAAAAGTTCAGGGCTGATGGTCCATGTCGAAATTCAGTGGAACCTAATTGGGTTTCTTATCGTTCCATACATTTTTTAACAAAATTAGTCAACTATCTTTATTAAACGGAAATGAAAACAATTTAACAACAATTTAAAAAATTATTGTTTACTATAACATAAACGAATATAATAAATGGCTGTGAAAACGATGGGGGATCTTAAATGAATTGATAAGTTCAAGGGTGACCTTATATCTTTAGCAACTTTCAGCTGAGTCAGTTAAGTTTTACTTTCCTCATTTATTCGCATCGCATTTTCATCCCACAATAAACCCATTCAACTGGGATTAATGGTTAAAAATACTTTTGCAGCATCATCACAAGTCGATAGTGGGCTGCAGTTGAACTCGAAACTGGTTTTCGAGGGGCTTATTATGTTTGTTAGGATTTCCCACCAAAGAATATTGTACAAATTGAATTCTGACCATATCCGCAATTATGGTGATAATCGCGTCGAATTTGTTATTGTTTGGGATATTTAATAATGGTTAATAATAAATAACAAGCTCTGCAAAACCATCCATTAATTAATAATAATAAATGATGAACTAATCAAATAAAAGCGTGGCAAGTGAAGCTGCGACGTTAATGATGCTTGAGGGGCAGATCATTCATTGGTTTGTGCGTGTCGGTTAATTTGTAGCACATATGTAAGTGTGCCCAGTTTGTTGGTGAAGTGCAGCCACACTAAAGGTGAAGTACAGCCTCACTTAAGTGAAGGAAACTCATTGAACGAACATGAAGTGCAGCCACACTAAAACCAAAGTACATACACACCAATTGAACGCTTCGCTGGCGCCAAAAAGTGCATAATGCACAGTTAGACGCGACACTCGCTAATGGCTCCTCATTATGTTCCATTAGCGGTGACTGTACCTTGTCCACAGGCCATCCCCCTCTTATTCTCTCCTTGTCTCTCTTTCTAACCCACTGCTTGCCCGCTTCACTCGATAGCTTCATAATTTATGCAGCTTGGCAAAGTTTTCGTGTAAGTCGGTCCGGCTTAAGCTCTTAAGCGGATGTAATGCCAGTCGCAAATGAACTTGTAATTTACAATGCATCTGACACTGACAACTGACAGGTGACTGTACCCAGGTACTCGATGCTTGTACTCGTTTTTTTGCAGAGGGTACTTGGTCAGTGCTTTTCGGATTCTTGGCTGAACTTAATCTGGGGGCTTTAAAGCAAGCTGGTTATCTTGGATGGTGATGGAAGGGATTTGCTAATTTTGGTTATGCTTGATATAGCTTGTACTTGGTTTTCAGTTTATATATGAGTGTAATTTTAGTAAGCGATGGAAACTAAGAACCTTTAACCTACAAAAAAGGTTTTTTAAGAAAAGTTGTTATTATATTTTTAGGATTTTTTGAGTAAGGAGTCATTTATATTTATATATTTTATTTTTTTTTTATTTTATGTTTTATTAAATATGAGCTTACAAATTTTTCAAACTTAAGCAAACCTTAGGTAGGATTATTTTTCCCAGTACTTGTATCTGATTTGCAGAAGGCTTAGCTTATCTCCCAAGAATTCACTCGTCTGTGGCTAATTGAATCATGAAATCCAACTGCAATGTGTTCATTTTTTCCAAGTTTTCATTTTCCGGGAAATTTAAGTAATCGCCTTAAAGAAACGAGATGGATGACAAAGAAGAAAGAAGTGCGGGGTAAAAGTAAACATTTGCCTAGGCCAAGAGCCTGTTCCACTCCCATCGTTCCCGGCAGGATTCTCGATGCCATCGCGATAAGAACTTCAGTGACGTCGAAGAAAAAAGGGCGGAGGGGGGGGTTGGGAATAGCCTGTCATCGCTCTTATCGCGTTTTTCCTCCTCTTTTGCGTCCTCATCGACTTGTTATTTCCGTTTATGATTTTTCCTTTGAACTTTTCCTGCCATTGCGCAGCACAAAAATGTCAAATTCAGCTATTTGTTTAATTGAAAATAAAGAATAAGGGCTGCAAGGCCCTCATACGGGGCGTGTCCAATTGTTGTGTGTCATTAATTTAAATTAGAGCTTGAAGTCCCGATTTCCATTCCACATCGATTTGCTACTTCACTGGATACGTTTAATGGGGTTGGAGTTGAAAGTCGGCAGATTATGTGATCAGCTAGATAAAGTAAACTCATGGGGGAGTAGTGAAAATACTTTAGCACATACGTCGGAATTTAGGGGATTAACCGAAGAATCCCCATTAAACCATTTTAAAGGTTAGGCAAATTTTACTAAATATTCGTAAACACATAAAATCTCTATAAATGCCTTTTTATGGGGATTCCAAATAATATTTTAAGTATATTCATATAGATTTTAAATTTTTGTTTTTAGTAATTTCATGAGTATCTTCTTCTCTTTGGTGTCTTCTCTTTCTGTTTTTCAAGAATAAGAATCCCTATTATACCATTTCAAAGGTTATGCAAGTTTCACTAAACACTCGTAAATACATAAAATCTTTATACTCGTAGATGCATTTTCATTGGGCTTAAAGATAATTTTTCCTAAATTCTTATAGATTCATAAAGAGCAATGAAATAACTTCATGAGTATCTTCATGTATTTGGTTTCTTCTCTTCCTGTTTTTCTTGTATCCCCCCCCCCCCCCCCCAAAAAAGGAACTTTAACTTTTTGTTCTTATCGCCTTTAGCCTGGCAACAATAACAATTTGTTGCTAATGCACATTGCTGTTTGTTTAACCCACACACACACAGAAACCACCACCCCCCAGCACCTTTTCATATAGTCACCCCCAACCCCCTCACAAAAGTTGACTTCCCCGTCCATGAATGGCTGTGGGAACATGAGCTAAACTACTCATTAAGCCAACTTTGGCGTTTGTCCATATGAAACTCAAGCGATTTGTTCAGAGTTTCAGAGAAAAAAAAGGGGGAGATGAGATGCCTGGATGTCAGGGGCGGGGCTTTTCAAGGGTGGGGGGGTTGGTTAAGGTTTATCCCCACTGCTGTGTTTGATTAAGCAATTCCAGGCGGAAATTAAATGGACACGCAAAACAAACTGTGAGCTGGAAAAGCTGCTCCAAGGATCACTACCAGTAAACTGGAAAAAAAAGGGTCATCCTGAGGGGAAAAGCGAGAGATGGGCAGCTTTGACCCCCCCTTGGGTTCGTCTCTATCAAACTTAACTGAGCAGCGCTCAAGTGAGAAGATTAAATCGCCATAAATATTAACTACAGTTGTTTTCCCATTTGGATAGGAGGTTTATATGGGTGGTGGGTTGGTTGGACCATGTCCATGGTTCCACCGAAAGGTAAGACAATTCGAAAGCGCTCGCCTTGATTTAGCACCGGAAGGCACGCACACCACGTGCCCCGAGTTCAAGTCCCCTGGAAGAACCCAAAACGAAACC